GAGAGGGTCCAGAGGAGGGCCACCCGCATGATCCGGGGACAACAGGGCAGACCCTACAATGAGAGACTACGGGACCTGAACCTGTTCAGCCTTCACAAGAGAAGGCTGAGGGGGGACCCAGTGACCGTCTATAAACTCACTAGGGGGACCAGAAGGGTTTGGGAGAGACCTTGTTTCCCCAAGCACCCCCTGGCATAACAAGGAATAACGGCCACAAGTTGTTGGAGAGGAGGTTTAGATTAGACATCCGTAAGAACTACTTCACTGTCAGGGCAGCTAGGAGCTGGAACCAACTTCCAAGGGAAGTGGTGCTGGCTCCTATCCTGGGTCTTTAAGAAGAGGCTTGATGCCTACCTGGCTGGAGTCATTTGAGCCCAGTTTTTCTCCTGCCCAGGCAGGGGCTTGGACTTGAAGATCTACAAGGTCCCTTCTGACCCAACTTCTATGATTCTATGATTGTTCTGTGTTTGTGCAGCACCTAACACTGTGTGGTCTTGGTCCATGACTGGGGTTTCCAGGTGCCATAGCAATACAGTTAATAGAACATTTCTGACCTGTATGGCACTCCATCTGTTATAACTATTGGCAAGAGCCACCCAGACAAGACTCGTTCTTCCTGAGATCTCCCACCTTCTCTATCTGCCAGTTGCTCTAAAGCATTAAAGTTCAGAGATTTCTCTTTGCTGCATCAGATTTGATGCAGGTCTGGCCAGCTGACCCGGGAGTCCCTGCATCTCATTCTCTGGGATCTGCAGTGAGAATGAGAGAAGGGATTTTTCAGGCTAGTCATGCCATCAGCTTTATGAATTTGATAAGACTCAAGTGAGCTGTTTGTCCAGTTACCACAGCAACTCACAGGCTCCTAAACCCATGCAGCTGGGAGGTGAGGCTTTGTGGTGTTACCATCTGGGGCAAGACTCATGTGTATCAGAGGATACACTCAAGGGCAGAGCACTGCCAGACTGTCTTGGCTCCTGGCACCCTGCTGAAGACAGCATCTCACTGCCACTCTGTGAGTACTCAAGTGACGCGCGTGCCTTGCATGAATTCTTACCCGTGCTATGGAAACTGGGGCAGGGATTATCTGGAGCAATGATTCTGCCTTAATTATTCTGTATTTAATGTGGAAAGCAGGTGGCAATGGGGGTATCTGGAGGGTGCTTTGGTTAGAAGCAAGGCGGATGGCAATGAGCCCCATCCCAGGGTGCTTTGGGCATGCTCTGGGTGGAGTGTGCATTGAAGTGCTGTTGAGCAGTGCTGGACACTTTTGAGGTGCCTTGGAATAGGGTTTGACTTTGTGCTACGCTGATGGGATAGGCAGCAGGGATCTGCCTTCTGGGTACTCACTGCTGGCACTGGAGGGGATTGTGCTTTTTTAGTCCTGAACTCTGCCAGCTCTCTGTCCCCCTGACCCTCCACAGCTCCAGCTAATCCAGCCTTGACCTCCCCCCTCAATTTGGCTGGTCCGCCTCAGTTGTGACCTGCAGCCCCCTTTCCTGCTCCTCAGGACATGCCTGCTGTGGGGGAACTCACCCCACAGTGCAGTCAGCACATCTCCGCTCTGACATGCAGCACCTGTCACTCCTCTCCTGGGCTGAAGTCTCTGTGACTCTGTTGCAGACCCTTTCTTTAGTTGAAGGGGGTTTTTCTGGAGTTGCTAATTCTGCTCTGTAACTGGGTAAATAGATAGCTGTTAAGTAATGCCAGGTCCCACCCACCAGTTGTGCGTGCTGCCTCAGCATAGCGTTTTGCTCCTACCAGTCTGGGTTGCAGGTCAGGAGACACCAGACAACATTGGAGCTGCCAGGGTGGCTGAGAGCAACGGAGTGTTGTAACGAGCACTGGGAACTCTGCTTTGCAGGCTGATGTGTCAGGATGGCAGCAAAGAAGAATCAGACAACGCAGAATGGAAGTGCCAAGGTGAGTGGAGAGGAAAGAGGTGGAGAGCCAAAGATGGATGGTGTGATAGACCTCAGCTGGGCCACCCCAGCTTGAGGGGGTGAGGAGGAGGTTTCTGGTGCTGCCAAGAAGTGTTTGAGCCAAAAATCACAGTGCCTTGTGTTTCATTGAAAAAAAAGTTTGCATCATATTTTCATTAGACCTGGAACTGGAGCAATAAGGTGTATCTGTCAGAGGGAAACAAGCACCTGTAGCAAACTTGGAAACTCAATAGTGCAGAGTCCAGAACCAATCTCAAGTGTGTCCTCACTTGACAACCATGATTTGCCTATCAACAACAGAGGCTCACTTAGCTGGTTGTTAGTACCTTGTCAGTATTTGCAGCATGGGCTACATACCCTCAGCTGTCATGTTGTGAATAACCAGAGCCACTGAAATTGCCCCACTGAAGAACTTGCATGATTGCTGGTTCCAGTTCAGATTGGAAATACCATCAGTTCCTATGTTTATTGTATTTACAGAGCCATAACCATGCTTGGTCACCAGTGGGACAACAACTCAGACATAGACTGTCCCCATGTCTCTCACCTGGTGATCACCTCATCCTCTTCTATTGATTTGCAATATGCAGTCCTGAAACGGTGCTCACTTTAGAGCCACCATTCTGAGAGATGATGAGCCCAGCTAACACCTCAAATCCAGGCAACTGGGAATAACCCTCTTCTTTGTAACATCCTGATGCTCCTTCTTTGTAATGACCCTCCTTCTTTGTAACACCTAAATGCTAAGATGCAGGAGTCAAGGTAAATGTCATGTACTTGGATTTTAAGGAGGCCTTTGATACAGTATCTCATCCTATTCTTATAAATAAACTGAGCGGCTGTGAAGTAGATGATTACACAGTCAGATGGGTGGCAAATTGGCTTAGGGGTCGCACCCAGAGAGTGGTGGTGGATGGATCATATTGAACTGGAAAGATGTGGGCAGTGGAGTCCCACAAGGCTTGGTCCTTGGACCTGTGCTGTTCAATGTTTTCATCAGTGACTTGGATGAGAGCATGGAGAGCAGTCTGCCCAAATTCACAGATGATACCAAATTATGGGGTAAAGTTAACACACTAGAGGATAGAGAATGAATCTAGGTGGACCTGGATAGGTTGGAAAAGTGGGCAGAACAGAATAGGATACAGTTCAACAGACAAGTACAAAGTGCCGCACCTAGGGAGAAGGAATCAGCAACACACTTACAGGCTGGGGGGTGACCTTCTCAGCAGCACAGCATTGGAAAGGGATCTTGGAGTCATAGTTGACTCCAAGATGAACATGAGTCGCCAATGTGACGAAGTGCGCAACAAGGCTAACCACACTTTGCCATGCATGACAAACATGTCCAGGGAGGTAACACTTCCCATCTATGCGGCACTGGTCAGGTCGCAGTTGAAGTACTGCGTCCAGTTTTGGGTGCTGTACTTCAAGAGGGATGCGGACAACCTCGAGAGGGTTCAGAGGAGGGGCACTCATATGGTTAGGGGCCTGCAGGCAAAGCCCTATGAGGAGAGATTGAGGAACCTGGATCTCTTCACCCCTGCAAGAGAAGGCTGAGAGGTGATCTTGTGGTCACCTACAAATTCATTTGAGGGGGGACAGCAAGGAATAGGAGATGCTCTGTTTGCCAGGGTACCCCTTGGGGTAACTAGGAACAATGGCCACAAACTGACAGAGAGCGATTTTGGTTAGACATCAGGAAGAACTTTATTATGGTAAGGGTTGCCAGAACCTGGAACGGGCTTCCAAGCAAGGTGGTGCTCTCCCCTACCTTGGGGGGCTTTAAGAGGAGGCTAGACAATGTACCTAGCTGGGGTCATCTAACCCCAGTGCTCTTTCCTGCCCAGGGCAAGGGGTCGGACTCGATGATCTTCTGCGATCCCTTCCAACCCAAACATCTATGAATCTATGAATAGCTTCATACACTATGTTGTCATCTAAATTAGATGGGGGGCAGAGGGACAGGAAGAGCTTAAGGGATTTCCTTGTTCGTATGACCATGAAATCCTTGCTTCACCTAGGAACAACGTTCTGACACTGCTTTCAAATCTGAGCTGTGCTTATGCCTAAGAATTAATATAATTAGCCCAGCTGGGCTTCCCACAGAGCTCACCCAAGCCAGACCATGCTCAAAGACCTGCATACATGGTGCCCTACCCCTCAGACATGCTGTCTCTAAGGCGCTCAAGGGACAGTTCTGCACAGTGTGGAGCTGGTTTGAGTCTTTACAGATTGTCCCTTTCACTTCTGTTCTCTCCTGGTTCTTATCTCTCCCTTGCACTTTGATGACAGGAAATGCTAGAGGTAAAGAGGAAGGTCCCAATGAGTGCAGGAAGACACAGGTCAAACAAGCACTGCTTTCTGTCTGCTTCATGCCCTTCTGCAGTGGGAGTTGTGGGCCTGGCAGTGGTAAGGACTGGAGGGACTTGTGCAGTTGTTGCTAAATGAACAGGGCCACTGACATGCCCTTTTCCATGTTATTGGTTGTTCAGTGTGCCCAGCCCCCTACCATGCCCTCTTTTTGCCACACACAGGAGAATGTGCTGCAGAGGGTCTTGCAGCTTCCAGTGGTGAGTTCAACCCGAGAAAGCCTTCAGAGGACATATGCCAGCACCAAAGAGGCACACCCCCTCGTGGCTTCGGTGTGTGAGGCCTGTGAGAAGGGCGTGCAGGGAGCTAGCTCGCTGGCTGCCTGGAGCATGGAGCCCATGGTGTGCAGACTGGAGCCTCAGTGTGAGTCTGTCGGGATCTTTCCAGCTGTGGGGCAGGAGGATGCAGGGTGCTGGAGAAGGGAGTGAGGGATTACCATTGCCTGGGATGCTGAGGCTGTGAAATTCCCCCTGCCTATAAAACAAGGCTGCCTTTGGGTGATGCTACTTTACAGCCAGCACACAGGCCTGGGATCCAGGAAGGTCTGGTTGTATAGCCTTGCTTTACTTCTTCAATGGCTGGGGGCAAGTCACTTAACAGCTCTGGCCCTGTTTGCACATGTAACCCTGACACCTTGCTGAAAGAGGTGGGGGCGGTGCAGAGGGAAGGGCTGGGTTCATGCCTGGGAGCACCTGGAACATGAATGCAGTCACAAATGTCCTAAGTGTTTCTCACATATTCTTAGGTAGGTGAGACCTGGGTTGCAAGCTTTGGCTGGGCTAATAAAAGTCAGTAGAGATCTGTACCCATTATGGAGGGGGAAAGCAAGGGTCAGTCCTTCCTCCAGGGACAAGCTGGAACAGCAGAAGGTAATCTGGGCTGGCAGCCAGGCTTCCCTTTACCAAGCCTTTTTCAGCAAGGCCTATCAACACCCTTAGCTTAGCCTCTCTCCTCCAAAGGAGAACCCCATCTGGAATGAACTGGGGAAAAAGCAGAGAAGGTTGGGACAAGGTCTCATCTGCAGCTCCTAGTTTACCCCGGTTCCCCCACACTAGAGGGAAAAGCCTGTAAGTGAGGAGAAGGAATGCAAAGCTCAGCCTGAGTCCTGAACACTGCCTCCTTTTAGTTATTCCTGGTTACCTTTCCCTCAACTCATGGCTGTGACTTGCCAAAGCCATGGCCAGAGAGCGGCAAAGCTCCAGACCCCTCTAGCCTCCTTTCAGAGAGCCGCTACCCAGGCAAGCCTCTTTCTTAGTAGCCCACATGCCCTCACCTTCTCACAGCCCAGCCCCAGCTCAGGTAAGGACTGAAGGTCTTGAGAGACTTGGGCCTTTGGTGTTGCTTGACTGTAGAGAGGATTAACCAGGTGGCCACCTCTGACCAAGGGAGCCAAGCATGTCCTACGTGCCTCCCTAGGGCCCTGGGATTGGGTGAAGGGGAAGGGGTACTAAGGCTACCCTCCATGCTTACTAGTCCTCTAAACCATATGAATTTGCCATTCTGAAAATGGCACCTCTAGCATCACAGTACCACCACTTAGCACAGCTCTGGGGCCACACATTTGGAGAGGCTGCCGCCAACTGCACCCTCTCATGGAGCTGAACACGCTCCCAACCACCAAGCTAATGTCCATGCCTTGTCTGGTTCAGTCAGTGCTGCCAACACCCTGGCCTGCCGGGGCTTGGATCACCTGGAGCAGAAGATCCCTGCTCTCCAGTATCCAGTGGAGAAGGTGAGTCAGACACTCAGGCCCTACCCCTACTCACCCTCTGCCCACTCCACTGCCATACTGGAGGAAGGCTTTATTTCTCTGGGACTGGGGACAGTACCCTGGGTTCCTGAAGCCAAGGAGCAGTAATTGGGCACTGTAGGGCTGTTTTGAGGCTCACAGTGCAGCCCTGAGGAACAAGCCCCTGAGGGTCACCCAGTGAGGGGTGAACGTGGGGATGTGGGCTGGGGTCAGCATAAGGCATTGACCAGCAGGGTCATGTCACACCTGCTCAGCTGCGCCTGAGGCCAGCGTTCCCTACAACCTGTTGTCCCCCAGGCATCTCTGTGCCCCTTCAGACAGGGGCTGGTGTTCCTCCCCACAGAGCTGCTCTAGCTATCTCCACAGTAGTCTGGGCCTTCGTCCCAACTGTTCACTGTGGCCTCCCCACAGTGAGACCCCTCTAGCTGACTGGAGCACAGCATCAGGGTCTCTTCCATCTGTCCTGCTGCAGATTGCGTCCGAGCTAAAGGACTCTATCTCCACCCCTCTCCAAAGTGCTAAGAGCACCATTGGCAGCTCTGTATTGGGGACCCTGGACAAGATCCTGGGGCTGGCCGCTGAGGGCTATGAGCTGACCAGGAGCACAGCAACAAGCACAGCAGAATATGCCTGGAGCAGCCGGGTCAGCCAGATGGCAGCCACAGGGGTAGACACAGCTCTAGGGAAGCTGGAGAAGCTGGTGGCATTTCTCCTACCAGAAGAGGACTGTCAGCCAGGTAGCCCTACCTCTCTAAGGGCATATGGGGAGAGGGATGCCCCGGGGAGGAGCTGGGTGCCATGGGCTCATGTGGCAGATTTTCCTTTTGGGCAGACCCAAGGTCAGATCTGAGTGCCATGAAAACAGCTTTGCTGGAGGCTCTGCCCTGTTCAAAGCAGAGTCAAGAGGGCTTGTTACTGAGGATGCAGCACAGGATTAGAAGGGGACGGGGGGGAGGGGACGGTTCTCAGGCCTGGGGTGCAGGCAGCACCGGGTGAGGGCTGCAGGACCTGATTGGCAGGGAGGGGTGGGGAAAGGGGTACTGCAAGTCAGGGCTGGGTGGCGCAGGCAGAGTTGGCTGGAGTGCTGCTGCTGGGGTAGAGGCTTGGAAGGGGAGGGGTTGCATCCTGAATACCTTCCCCCTTTCTGGGTGGACAATGGTTCCCTCACCCCTAGGTGACAAACACTGCCCCCTTGTATCCCTGTTGGGTTGATAAGGAGGGTCAGGGAGTGACCTGGGTTGTGTCTGCCACATGCAGGCACCCAGCAGAGTCTCCAACCAGCTGCTGATCTTCCCACAAGGTGACCCTGTCATCCCAGTCAGAGGCAGGCTCTCCCAGCACTGTATAGTAACTCACAGCCCTAGGCAGGGAGGATGGGGGCAGGTGGAAGGATGTGAAGGTGCTTCTGAAATGTCAGGAGGGAGAGGGCATTACTGAGTAGCGTGGCATTCACTCTGGCTGGGAGAGTCAGGGCCACTTCAATGCCAAGACCTGCCCCACAAATGCTGGAGCCCCAGGGCAGTGGCTGTTGAGAGCCTGGGGATCTTCCCAGGGAAGACTGGAATAATGAGGGAGTCCCAAGCAGAGCTGCCCATGGGCAGGGGGTGCAGAGCCATCAGCAGGCCGTGTGTGCTTTTCTCTGTACTGGTGACCAGCCTGTTCCCGTGTTGCTCTGCCCTTTTGCCATTAGCTCAGAAGCCTGCAGCGGCACAAGGATCCAAGGCAATGGCCTCCCAGGTACAGCCAGAGCTTGGCACCCTCCACAGGATTGGCACTCTGGCCAGCACTGTCTCTTACCATGCCTACCAGCAGGCTGCCCGAGCCATCCAGCACACAAAAGCCAAGGGGCAGGAGCTGGCCCTGTGGATCCCAGGTCTGGTGAGTTCCCCTGCTTCGCACATCCCAGCAGCCTTGAGCCTGCTGCCATGTCTTGTGGGGATATCAAGCAACAGGTTGCCCCTGGTCTGATCATCCTCAAAATGGGGGCCAACCCCCGTCTCTGTACAAAGCCTCTGTGTCTCAAGCCACACAAACAATAGCTATAGTTTAAGGCAGGCCTTAGACTAGCTCTAGGTGCAGTGTGTCCTTGCTACATGGCAGAAAGCACAGCACAAACCCCATCTCCAAAATAGTTCCTAGGGCTACATTGCCAGAGACCAGTAGTACTGTAAAGTAGCAGGAATACATCTGCCTGGCTGTCATATTGCTGTTCCTGAGCAGCTCCAAGTGCTCTTATTCAGTTCAGCCTTGTGGTCCTCTGGGGGGTAGGATGTGCTTTTTCTTTCTCTTTTACAGTGGGCTGCCTGGGAGCTGATTCGTCAAGTGCCTGAGGTTTTTGCTCTGGGCACAGGTCTGAAGCTCCTGGGTAATGTGGTGAGACAACTAATAATGTTGGGGCCAGGAATGTAACCCAAGTGTCTGGCCTCACTGTGCCCTCCTGACTGCTGAGGCCTCGCCTGCACTTCCCTCTCCTGGAGGTGGGACAGCATGGTTCAAAGTTTGACTCTTTAGATCAGTGTTTTTCAACCTGTGGCCCTTGGACCCCAGGAGTCTGCAGACTTTGCCTAAGAGGTCTGCAAAAGATGATCAATCAAATTGACTATATGATCAATCAAAAGTCTGTGAATACTCACACAATTCAAGGGGTCTGCACCTCCACTGAAACTTTTTTAGTCTGCAAAAGAGAATAGGTTGAAAACCATTGGTTTAGAGCATTTTAAAGGGAGTAATGGTTCTTACTATTATGAATGGTTTTCTTCCATGCTCCAGATTAAGAGTGAGTGGGCCCCAGCCCCTGAGTCCCTCTGGCCCATATTTTGCTGCCAGCTGTTTAATCCTCCCAGGCAGCCAGGGTCCTGAAGACATGGCCCCTGTATCCTCTGTGGCATCACCACACATAAAACCCTGGCCCAGATAGATTATTTTTAGCTGGCTCTACATGAATATTGTTGATTGATGCCCCTGATGTGACCTCCTTCCCAGAGCAAACAGCCCAGCGGAAACACTGATAACGTCAGGAGCAGGAAGACTCCCCCACCTCGCCTTTCCTTGAAGCTCCCTTGGTGCTAAGGCAGCCTTTCCCAGGCTTGCTAGAGTCCCAGAGCCCTCTCTGCCACCATCCTAGGCATGTGCATGCCTCCTCTGGCCCTCCTGACATCATGTCACACCCCTAAAGTCCTGGACCAGGGTGGATGTTCTGAGAAGAGTTGAGGCATCTGCTCTGGCCCTGGCCCTGGCCTGATTTCATCCCAGGAATAATGTCTCAGTCTCCTAACACCCCTGCTGCTTCAATGGCGTTCCTTTCTGAGGCACAGCTGTGCTATACTTTCCACCCCGAGGGGGCAGAGGGAGCAGGACTGAGAGAGCCAGTGTGGTACTTTGAATTCAACCTCTGTGGTGGTGCCTGAGCCTCACAAGCCACAGTCCCGCAGCCCCTGAGGTGCTGGGCCAGGAGCACCAGGGAAGCTGAGACATGGAAAGACCTGGGGTCATAGTGTACCCTAATATAGCTGCCCCATCCTTGACTCTGGACCAGGGACTTTTTGCTGTGCTTAGCTTTCCTGCAGGAATTCAGAGCCAGGCACTGTGTGGGGGCAGTCTGACCTCTCTTCTTCCTCCTGCCCATCTGCCATTGCCACAGCCAGCTGCAAAACACTTGGGCTTGGGAACCAGTAGCAAGTGTGAGGGGATGTGAGGTGGGAGCCTGGCCAGGGGAACCCCCCTATGAGCAGTGGCTCTTTGCTCCCTCTGCAGGGTGGTATGGCCAAGCAGAGCACAGCCAAGGCCCAGCAGGTCCTGAGTGATGTGCAGCATGCAGCTTCAGGCTGGCTGAGCAGGCGGCAGAGCAAGGAGCCGGAACAGCAGCCAAAGGAGATGAAGAAAGAAGAAAGTGAAGACAGAGAGGTACGAAGATGAGCAGAGCTGTGAGCTCAGCCCACATGGCTCAATGGGCAACCAGGGAAGGGTCCTACAGTCCCCTGCCCCCCCCCAGCCATGTTCTTGGGTCAAGGCAACTGTGATGGCTCATAGCACATCCCCTCAGGGCTCTGGGCCATTGGGGAACAACTGAGGCTTTGGGGGAGGACAGGATCCTCCTCCAAAGGGATTTGCTAACAGAGCTGAGCAGAGAACTCAGGAGACTTAGGTACCAGCATTGTGCTCACTGCTAGATAACACTACCTCAAGTGAAACTGGTTTTGTTTTGAAGTTGCTCTGTGCCCCTGCCTCGACTGTGTCCCTTTGCCATATATTTCCAGGAACCAGGCTGAGAAACCCTGGTAGACTCCTCCATCCCTGCCTCCTCCCCATAGAGGCAGCCCAGCCCCTCTGCTGGCATCTGCCACAGAGACGTTGCAGTCCTAGGGTTTGTGCTAGCAGGGTGACAGAAACCTAAGTCCCTGTGGTCTCCTCAGCTGGTAGAGAAGCTGGAGTGACTCTGTCCCACAGTTTCCCCCTGGAAAAGGGAGGTGGCAATCTCCGTGCCAGGCAGATACAGAGATCCAGCCTCTTTTTGTCTGTCTGAACTGTGCTCGGTGCCCAACAGGGCTGTGGTGTGCTTTGAAATCCCGGCTAGCTGCCTGCGTTGCTGAGGGACCGCGCAGATCAGAGCAGGGTGGCTGGGGTGTCAGGATACCTTGCTGACATCCCCTTTGCATGAGGGTGTCCCTTGCACTCAGGACTTGGAGCGTAGTGGTGCAGAGCCACAACTGCAGTGCTGAGAGCCAAGGGACACTTGGAGGCTGGCTCCACTGGCTTTGCAGATGCCTTGTGTTGCCAGAGTGGGACTGAAAAGCTGGCTCAGGGCTTGCTGGAGTGGAAACTGGTCTGCTGGGACAAGGGACAAGGAAGAAAGGAAACTGCCAGCAGGGGGTGTGGATCAGCACCTTGCACCTCTGCCCCCACTCCCAGTGCTGTAGGGGGGAGTCAGACAGATGGAAAGGTAGCCTCAGCCTGGAGACAGGCAGCTTGGTCTCTGGAGGCTGAGAGTGAGGAGCCAGTGAAATGCAATCTGCTCAGTGCTGCCGTGGCTCCAGCAAAGTCAGTGACATTGGCTCCCCACCTTCCGCACAGCCTTGTGCTGCTGGGGACGGCACACTCAGAGGCAGAGGGGGTAATGGGATAGGGCTGGAGAGCAGAGGGGATGCCTGGGGCCTGCAGCTCTCCCACAGGGCCGTGCTTCGCACTGACTGGAGTGGCTGGGCTGGTTTCTCTTTGCAGAAAGCCGAGAGCAGCGGGATTCCAAGCTTGGTAGGCAGCATGGCCCAGACACTGCAAGCTGCCTATCTCTCCACCATCTCCAGCATGAAGAAGGTCCCCTCTGCTACATGGGATGCAGCTGTGGGACTGCTCCAGCTCACCCCCAACAAAGCAGCTTCCATAGCCAGAGAGAAGGTGGGCGCTGTGGGGGGAACCCTGCGCAATGCCTCGGGCATCCTGTCCCGCTACATGCCGGTGAGTTTATCCTGTACTCAGAGAGCTGTTTGTCTGCACTGCAGGAGAGAGGGGAACTGTATGAGGCGTCTGGGGCCAATGTTCCCACCCATCTGGCCAGAGCCTCTCATGGCCTGGGACCTGCCCCTTCCCCCACCCCGGATTGGAGCCCTTCCCTGTTGGGCCTCCTTTCTGGAGAGTGAGCAACCCTCTAGCAGCTAAGAGATGTGACCCTGCAGTGCTGGCCTCACTGCCAGCCCAAGCCTGTTTTGCTCAGAACACGCACGATCCATGGGAAGGAGGCTGGAGTCTTCCCTGGTCTTGGGGAGCATCATGAGTGATGGACCCCAGGGTCTGCCTACACTGGACATGGTGCAGGAGGGTGCTGTGAGGCAGCCCAACCCTGGCCTGCAGCCCCTACTATTCTGATCCTGGCTTCCGTGCACATGGCTCTGCTAATGTCCTTTACTGGTGCTGCTCTCAGACTTTCTGAGATCTCCGCCTCTGAGAAATTCCTGGGAAGGTGAAAGTTCAGGGAGAGGACCCCCACCCTGCAAACACACACACACAGAGCTGATTCCTGCTTCCCTCCCAGGGCTCCCTGGACATTAATCATGTGTCCATGGAGACACAGACTGCCCCATGAATAACCGCTGTGTTCCTCTCTCTGCCCCCTGCTAGGACCTGTCTGGAGTCAGGCTGCCTCTAGCTGCAGACATTTCCACTGAAAGGCAGGAGGGACTGAGGAGCATAGACCAGGACCCTGAACTGGAGGGAGGGAAGGAGAGGAGAGAGGGATTGCAAGGGAGGGAAGTGGAAAGATCCCATCAAGGGTGACAGTGGCATGATCAGATCAGCATGTTGGTACATAGACACTCAGACTGCAGCGCCCAGAGCTGAGCCCCGGCGATGTGGCAGGCATCAGGCAGGTGCCTAACTGGTCATGGTTTGTAAGGGAGCCCATGGGAATCCATGGACAAGGGGGTTCCTTGCATGTGGAGGTCGTTCAAAATGTCGGCGAGAAACCAAAGCATCTGGGGTCCCATAATTCTCCAGGGTTCTGCCAGCGCAGTTTGTTGGGAAAGGGCAGGAGGTTGCCCTTGTCTGGCTGCTCTTTGTAACACTGGCCTCATGAGCAGCTTTTCCTACCCTACACAGAAAAGACCGCCCATAGAGATGCTGCACCTGAGCTCTCTGTGAGCTCCAGGATGGCTCATGTTAAATACAGGGCAGATCCTACCCAGCCTTTGTCCCTGTGACTATGAACTCCTGCCCCAGATTGGGTACTCCATATGCCCCCTAGTCAAGGAGGGCTTTTGCCTTTGGGAGGAGACCCCAGGAGCAGATGCACACCAAAACTACCTGTTCTACATCTTCCATCACAGCAGGAAGAAAAACTCCAAGTGAATGGGCCCTAACCCCTAGAAACCAAGGCCTGTGCAGCTAGGGTCAAATGGGCCTGTTCCTAGATGGGCAGTCAAGGTTCCCAGTGCTCTCCCGCTGATGTGTTGCCTCTCCCTGCCTCTGGTGCAACTTTTCTGGAGACTGAATGCAGCTGGAGGGAGCCAATCCAATTTAGTCCTTTGGGGGTCAGAGAAGCAGGTCCAAGTCACTTAGAGGCTTAGGCCTGAGAACAGAAGATATCAAAGTCCCCTGGAACCAGAGGCAGGCCTGGAGATAATGCTGCCAGGCCAGACCTGCGTCCAAGCTCTGCTCAGACCAAAGGACCTGCCCCTGGTCCACCTCATCCTTGGTGGCTCTGACCATGCTCTGCTTTCCTTCTGGTTCAGTAGCTTGAGAGACCTAAAGTGACCAGTGAGGTAGTCAGCTGTGAGTAGGAATGCATGGGAGGAGGGGAGGTCATCCCACAGAGTACCTTGCCGAGAGAATGGGCTGGTGGGGCTGGTCTGGCTGCCCCCATCTCCCACTGTGCTGGGGGGAAGCAGGGAGGATGCTGCAAAGCCAGGGAGGGCGTCTGCAGGAGCCATACTTTGCAGTCTTGGCATTCCTTACCCCCCAAGGTCCCTGCGCCAGCTCCCCAGCCTCCTCCCAGCCTTTTTGTTTGTGTGGGTTGGGTTTAACTACAGTAAAAGCCATCTCATCCCTGCCTGGTGCACAGGGATTTAGCTAAAAGGATTAATTCCCCCTGGGCAGCATGCTCCAGGTGGAGGCCTCTTTGGGATGGCAATTATGACCCCTTGACACTGGGCACCCACCAAGGGGAGGAGGAGCTTGGGCCTGGCAGGGGGAGTGGGGGCAGGTGGCTGGGTCTCCTCCATTTCTGCTAGCAAACAGGGGGCTTTCATCGAGAAGCAGTCAGGGAAGGAGGGGCAAGATGGAAGGCTAGAGTTGCTCATCATCCTTGTTTTCCTTTAGCACCTTCCCTCCATCTGCAGCACCAGTAAAATGGAGTCACCTCTGGAGAGAGGGGTCAGTGGGAGCAATGCACTGGGGCTGTGAACACCAATGAGTCCCAACTCTGATGCTGCCTCAGCATAGATCTGACAGGAGCATGTGGCTGTTTCCTGGGTATCCAGGCCCCCTCCATCAGCCAGTGCCTGGGGCAAAGCGGTGGTTGGGGCAGGGCAGGCTGTAGCCAGCTGGCAGTGAAGGGGCCCCTCACTGTGGGCTGAGGGGGTGTTAATGCATGCACTCTTTTGCTGTTCAGCTCCCCAGGCTTCAGCTGAAGGAAAAAGAGACTCCATGTGGGAGCAAACCCATCCCTGGTCTGCATAAAAGAGAGGAGAGGTCCAAGCCAGAGACTCCCCTGGCCCAGGAGAAGGTCCTGCTGAGAGTTGAGTGGCGGGCCAGCCGGGGCCACCATCCCCTCTCCTTCCTGAATCTTGAGGATCCCCTCTTCCTGCAACCATTCCCCTTTCAGCGCCAGACGCTGCATCGGGCCCTGGCCTTCGAGCCTGAATACACAATCTCCCGCAAATCCACCTTCTTCCCCTACAGCAGCCGGAGAGTGAGCGAAGGTTCGCACCGCTTCTGTTCAGAGCCCGTCTACACCAGGGCTCACTACAGCAGCCTCTACAGCACAGCCATCAAGAAAGACTGAGTGGGAGGGCTCCTGAGCCTGCTAGCTGCCTGCTTAGCACATGCCAGCCTACAGCCACTATATGTTATTCTTCCCCTTGCAAGCAGTGTGGCATTGGATTTAGCATTAAGATCCTACCAGTTTAATTTCCCAGATGTGCTCTCTCCCAGTGCCTAGGGAGGATGGGGACTTGCTTGTCACCTCTGGAACTAGGGTCGGGTACAGTGCAAGGGCAGAAGAAGATTGAGTTTGAAGGTGCTTATTCCATCCCTCCCCTGACAGCAGTGTGGTTGTGAAGCCAAGTTTCTGCATTGTTGTGACAACTGAACTGAAACAAAGGCCGACCTAGTAGGGAGACCTGCTGGGCAGTGAAAATGGAGGTAAGATGAGAGCAAGGGTTTGGTTTGTATCACAACCTGTCTCTTAAATGCATCCCACCCCGGTGAGGCACGTGGGGCCATGCCATTTCTGCTTCTTTCTTCCAAGAAGAAGTAATCAGAAAAGGCTCCAAACCCCAAATTCTGTTATTTTACAGTAGCCAAATCAAGAATACAATGGCTGGTCTGTACCGTGTTTGATGAAGGAGTTTGGGCTTTCAGATATATGTTGTGAGCCCTCTTAGGCCCAATTTAACAAACTACGCGGTGGGTCTTTAACAAAAATAGATTTTCCCAAGAGTGTGTTGGTTATCATAGTTAAATAGGCCCTGAGACATTTATCCCACAAACTACCCTGTAAATGAAGCAGACAGGCTGTGGGAGGGGGCCCCTCATGCTTGTGATGGGGCTTTGACAGCTATCCAATTAGAGGTGGTTTCATAAATGAGCAGGAAAGCATAACAAGAAACAACTTATTTTGGAGGAGAGCAGAGTAGCCCATAGAAGAGGGAGAAATGGAGCAAGTAGAGACCAGAGGAGGAAAAGAGGAAACAGAGAGTGGAGAAGGCCAGAGAGCGAGAGCTGAAAAGGGAGGGCACTGAGAGGCTGGTTGCTTGTAGCTGATCCTTCTTCAACAGACGTAATCAGCCATGGACCTTGTGTGGGTGGCAGCTGTGACAGGGACCTGTGTTCAACTTGAAGCCCCCTAATCAAGGCCACTGGCTCTTCAACTTCTCACAGCAATAAATGTTCCCCACTTGCTTTCTACATGGCTTGCTCATTTCTTCCATGTGAGTCTCAGGGACAGCTGCCTGGTGCATACATGGGTCCTGAGTGACTGGCTGATCCTGGCACTGGAGAGACAGGAAAAGATAGCTGTGACCCCCACTCTCCCCCCCAAATTCTGAAGGTGGCTACATTAAATCAGCTCCAAGAGCTGCTCCAAGTTGTGCTCGTCTTTCTTACCCACAGTTTGCAGGCAGGTTGCTGGGTGTGCTTTCTCAGGGCTGGAGGTAGGGGGGAGCAAATAGGGTGTGGCATGGTCCTGAGGCTTTGAGTTGGGTATTTTTGCTATCCTCCCAAGCCATGGGAAGGACACAGCCCAGTTTGGGCATAGCAGCAGCTGAAGCGAATCTGCCTCCACTCACAGCCCTTCTAGTGCAGGGCTGTGTGCACAAGGCAACAGTGTCTCTTAATGAAAAAGCATCATAACCTGCATCAGGGCTCTGGCTGGCTGAGTAGCCAGGCTCAGGCTCATTTCTGTTGGGTTTCACCTGGATCAGGGCTCTCATTAAGCAGTAATAGCTAATGGAACTGGATCTTTCTGACTTGACCTGCTGAAGAAGACTTGGTCCTCCTACTAGCAGTCATCTGCCTAGCTCAGTGGGAACTGCCTGTGTGCCCCTGCTTTAGAAACAGACCCAAGGCTAGATCTACCCCAAACTGAAGAACTGGAAAACAGATAAAACATAGCAGCCATCTATCCTGGCCAGTGGCCAGTGCATCCTTGAGCGTTGTGTGTACAAAGACCTGGTAACCATAGCACAGCCCCCGCCAGGGCTTGTGACTGGTGCTCTGCCCACCCTGCTGTAAATGGGCATCTGGTTACAGAATTTTCTACATGGGGACTCACGAAGGCAGAGCGGAGAGGAGCAGAAGTCATGACATGCTGAGGGTGAATGCAGAGCACTGCACAGGCACCACAGAGCAGATTGAGAAGTCTGCCTGGCTCATTTCCAGGCTGTTAAAGCAGCACACAGCAGGCAGAGCCAGCCACAGAAAGCAGCTGCAAGGGCTTAGTTAGTCTGGGCTGCGGGTGGAGCAGAAGGAAAACACAGGTCTGTGTGAGGCTAAAAGCTGCCAGGGCTAGCACATTTAAAACACAATACTGTCTGCAGTCAGTAGAGCACACAAGAGAGCAAGATGGTTCACATCCCATCCTTTGACTCCCAGCCCAAATGACCCTGTGCCCATTTAAAGCTGCATTAATGGGGGCAGCTGTCTTGTGTCCAGAACAAGGCCTCCAACTCCTCCTTTCAAAGGCCCAAACAGATGCCCTGGCCACTCTGCTACCACATGCTGGCATGCAGCAGAGAGGGCACTAGATTAAGGGGGAGGGGGTCAGGGCAGGAAGGCCTAAGCTGAATGCAGAAGGTGCCTGGTATTTCTGCCCTCGTCATGGCAGACACCAGGGCAGGCTAAGTAAGAGCAATCACCCTTGGGCACCCACTCCAACACACAAGACTCCCTTGCAGCACAAAGTCACAGCCACCAATAGCCAGGTGCTTCTGGCATAAGGGGGTTTATTTAATTTACATACCATATCAGCACAGAAATTACTGGGTTTACAGCCACATCCTCTTATTTACACTCAGGGACTGCGAGGCACCAACATCACATGGCAGGAGCCTCCCAAGGCACTGGTGAAGGGCATGGGGCAGGTTGAGGGGAGCATTGTCTCCACATTCAGGGTGGAATGGGGCTTTCAGGAAGAAGCCAGATAGCCTGATCCATTCAGACTTCAGCCCTTCCCCACATAGCTTCCTTCAACCCCAGGGGGTGGGTGAGCACTGGGCAGACAAACTATGCCTCCTGAGAACCCAGGACAGACGCACCGTATTTTGCCCCACAGTTGTGTCCCAGGAACCAGCCACGTCACCGTATCTTGCCCAGTTTTACACGTTTGGCCAATATGTCATTTTAACCAGAGATGCTCGTTGTAAGTAAAAGACCAGGAGAAGAAGCTAGTTGGCAAGGGTAGCTCTAGGCACCTAATCACAACATAACAACTTGGTAACCAGTTAAGATTTCACAGAAGACGAATGGGATGGGATGCTGGAGAAGGGCTTGGCCACAACTCTAAATCCCAGTTGAAAATGCAGACATCTAAGAAGCCAAAGAGCATGGAAGAGGAGACTGCCACCTGCAATCAACCTATGCAGATTGCTCTTCATGTCCTTTCCAGAGCTAAGGTAGCTCTGGAAAGGGCCAAACAGTAAAGGTACATCCTCTGGTGCCACCTCCAGGTGGGACTCTTGAGGCCAGGGTGCCCTTCCCTGCTCTATAATAGACTTCCTGAGTGACTAAGTCTCACATAGTTTCAATGTACCTCACTTACCCCCCTGCACAATGGGACTCCCTGGCCACACGTGTCTGTTGTGAGGATGAACAGCAGACTGGGAACTGCTCACATGCTACAGCAGTGGTGTCAGAAACAGCCACAGGCCAAGTGTTTGTTCCCAATGAGATAACTCTGAGGAATGGAGGGCTAAGAGGAAGAAAGCCAGAGAAGGATGGCTACTCCTCCATCCTCAGCTGTCCTCACAGGAAAAGGCAGGACAGCTGAGGGCCCAAGAGTGCACAGGGTACAAAACCAGCAAGAAGATACCTTGGAGTTTTTCAGTACTGAGAAAGTAGTTACATAAAACAGTAAAACCAAGGGGCACCTAGACGTAGTAGGGTGAAGACAGCTCAACACAATGGGGCCCCAACCCTGACAGAGGTCTCTGGAAGTTGCTGTAATATATATAATAAATAAGAACAGGGAAATATAGGAATTGAGGAATTATCTCTGCAAAGGAAAAGTGGGAGCTTGGGACATTTATAGCTCATCTGGGCACTGTGCTAGTAATTGTACAAAAGTGCTCCGGCCCCCAGGATGGACAGGATGGTCTCCCAGGAGTCATTATGGAAAGGGTCTATGGCAAAGGTTGCAGTGAGCCTATATTGCAGCATAGGCAGTCTCCACCATCACCCTGAAGCTGGAAGCATTGGTGGGGGGGCAGTTTACTCATCCAAACATATGCCCCCCTCCATGGGCACTGGGGGATTAATCTAACAATGGAGACCAGGCACAGTGGCATTCCCACCTGAAAGCACATGGAGAAACAATGCCCAGGCTCCAACTCAGAGCGAGTCTGTTCTCTTCCGGGCAAACACCGCTGACATGCTCTTTACGATGCTGCGGATCCCAGTGCCCCTCTTCGGTGCCAGTTTGGCCTCACAGAAGCGCTCAGCCAGCCCCTGGAAGACCATGAGTGACCCGTGATAGGCCTCGGCCGCAGAGACCTCATAGAACCCGCAGTCCGCAGACAGCGCTAGGAGCCGCCCCTCCTCACTGGAGACCACCCGCTGGTGATGCAGGTCCCGTTTGTTTCCCACAATGACAATGGGCACCTTTTCCTGGCTAGTGGCCTCCTTGGTTGCCTTAATAAACTGGACTTTGGGGTGCAGGATGTTGAAGCTGGCACGATCACAGATGCTGTAGACCAAGATAAAACCATCTGCCCATTGGACCCTCTTCTCCTCTGCAGAGCTTTCATCTGCTCCATCCTGGGAAGAGAGAAATGGGGCAGGGAGTTGGATATAAATCAATAAGCTACATTTGGTGAATCTAGGGAGAAAGTTTGTGCTGAAAAGGGTCATGGGCAATGTTCCCTCTCAGGAGTAGCAGTCTGTGAGTGCACCGCCTTGGTCTGTGAGCATGTTGCCTCGGTCTGGCATGGGACACTTATTGAAGGGGGCTGGAGGCCAGGAGCTGGGGCCTGGAGCCGGAGGCTGGGGGCCAGAGGCTGGGGCTGGGGCCTGGGAGCTGGAGCCGGAGCTGGAGCCAAGAGGCTGGGGCTGGGGGCCGGAGGCTGGAACTGGGGCTGGAGCTGAGAGGCCAGGGGCTGGCACGGGCTCTGCCGGCTCCAGGGAAGTGTTCCACTCCCCCACATCAGGGTCGGGGAGTAGAGCACTTCTCCGGAGCCGGTGGAGCCCACGCCAGCCCCCCGCCCCAGCCTCCATCCCTGCCTTGCCTCACCTTGGGGAGGAGCCGCTGCCTGCCCCGGGTGAGGCTCCGCCGGCTCTGGGACACTGTGGGATACACCCAGTGAACAGCAGACAGTTGGTAGTGGCCAGATCTGACCTGGAAACACCAGCTTCCAGAAGGAGAGGGAGTCTGATCCTGCACTCCATCAGCACAGGCAGCTCCTGACTGCTGAACACCAAGTCATGGCCTTAAACTGAACTAACCCAAAGGGAAAGGTTTCACCTAATGTCTCACATCCAAACCAGCCTCTGATCTGACTGTCAACCTGGAGGGGATGGGATTCTTCTACTGGTATTCTAGAAGAATGAGCTGGCATCATACAGCAATTCACTGCCCTTCTGTGCAAAGCATCCAGGCTCAAGACCAGCTAGGTGGTTCTGGCTCCTTTTGGTGGCAAAGATTTGGCACCTCCCTGTCTTTGGGTAGGTTGTCAAGGGCTGGGGGTGAGGGGGGAACAGTAGCACACAACAGAACAGCGAACAAGCAGCTTCTAGCAGACCCTACTAAAGAGGCTAGAACGACAGGGAGCCAGTTCCTGCACTGGTGTAGTTTGGGAATGATCTTTACTGTCTCAAGTCCTCTCTGATCCAGGCAGGTGAAACCACACCCGAGGAATCTCAGCTGTCTCCAAACAATTTGGCTGGCTCAATCGTGCTGGGAGACCAGCAGGAGCAATTACAGTTGGCTGATGCCTCCAAACCCCAATTTGCTATTTGAATTTCTTAGCAAGGGGAAACAAACAGCTCTTCTTGGAGTAGAGATATGTGACAGCAGCAGCAGCAGGGCTCTCTTACCTGTGAATAAGAGAAGTCCCAAATGTGGAAGAGGATCTCCCTGCCCTCCACAGCCAGGCTGTGGCTGTAGATGGATTCTGTCAACAAAGCACAAAGACCCTTCAGAGACCACAGAGCTATGTCCTCTCCTTGGGAGAGTCCCACTCCACCCAGCCCTTTCTCTCTGCTGCACACATACTCCTCTTTAGGTGGGAGACTGTTCAGGCTAAGGCACCCACCACACACCAGTATGCTGGCACTGAGACCAGAGGGTCTACCACAGAGTACCCCAAGATGTCTGGATCTACCCACTCCTGTTGCCCCTGAGCCAGTGCACCTGCACCTGCATCCCTGCTAGCTGCTACCTGGAGCTCCCTCCCTTTAAACCTGAAGCTTCCAAGCAACAAGTTCAACTCCCAAAGAGAGACAGGCAGCTGGGAAACAGCCAGATCCTGGAGAAAGAATTAGTTGCACAAATCAGGGCCTTTGCAAAGTGGTGGATCTACACCCCACAAGGACAAGATGCTGGCACAGCACTTACTCATATCTCCATATTCCCCAATGAAGCGCCTGGTGAGGAAGCGCACAGTCAGGGCTGTAAAGGGAACAGAAAACAAGGAATTTAAATGACCATGTTAGGTCCCTAGCAAGCCCATCTCAGCACCAGCCCAGAGCTACTTCCAGGCACCGGCCAATCCACTCTGCCCTGGAACATCCTCCACGTTAAGCTCTCACTGAATTTAGAGCGAGTGTCCTGTTTTTCCTTCTTTCTTTGTCTTTGTGCAGAGGATGAAGGGGTCAGGAACTCTCCCAGACCTGCATTACAAAGGACTGCTGCTGACAAGAAAGCGTTTTCACTTACAGACTATGCCACCCTGAGCTCCCGTGCTGTCAGGGGCTCCACTCTGCTTCCTCACACTAAATCAGAGATTTCTGAGATGCAACGAACTAACCAGGTCGCATCTCTGTTAACTGACCACAGCAGGACTTTTCCCTACCTGCTCTCCAGTTCGAGTTTAAAAAGTCCTTGGACATGTGGTTCATGTCTCTTTCCTTGGAAGACTTCCACAGTTCACAGGCTCTTGTCTGAAAGCTTCCCCTGTCCCATCTGCTTTCCTGCTCCTGCCTTGGTGGCGAAGTGCTCACCTGATTTTCCCACATGGTCTGCTCCCAGAACTAGCACATTTGCTTCCATTCTCTGCATGGCAGGACTGGGCACCTCCACCAAGGGCTGGGGGTCAGGGGTGAAGCTGGCACTTCTGCGCAGAGGGATTCGGAGAACCATTTGTGGAGCTCTCGCTGCAGAGCCTGACACTCCTCTACACTGCCAGGGCCGAATGACGCCCACCCCAGAGCAGGGGACAGCGATCTGCATGGGCCATACCACTCCCAGGGACGGAGGGGTGACAGCAAGAGCTGAAGGTTTAACCATTCTTTGTGAGATTCCCAGAATTAGAGACCAACTCTGATACCGGTCAAATCATCCTAAAAGAAAGCCCCTGAGCCATGGTACCAGGGTGCTGGGAGTGTCCTGATGGGGACAACATGATGTTAAGCTGTTCTCCAAACCAAACCCAATACTGGATCCTCAGCTGGGATGGGCACCCAGTCTCTTTTGCACTTCAGACCTCGTCTCTGGCCCAGCAGGCTGCCAGGCCTCTTGCTTTTATTTCAGAGCTGCAGCGTGAATGATGAGGCCTCTGAGCAGGGAGATAGGATTGTCTTTTGCCCCTGCCCTCAGTGCTCTGCCAATGCCCCTGCATTGCGACATACAGGGTGCCCTGCTATTCCACCGCTGGTCCCACGACCTCAGTCATGACGTGCAGTCCTGACCTCCTGCCGTCCCCGGGTCCCCACTCCACATCACCCCAACTTCCTCTACCAACACGCTCTCCTGACTCTGCTACCTAAGAGCTACTCCATATTTGCACGCAGAGACTGCTAGCCATGCCAATACGTGCAATGCCTCTGCAGTGTGGAGAAACAACCACTGGCTGAGAGCACCGAACTCGTTCTCTGCAAATTTAACTGGTTGTCCACAGTAGTCTCAGCCTGTGCCCCTGCCCAGGACCCTCTGGCTGGGGTTGGTACTGCAATGAGCAGGCCCCTGGCCCCAACGAGGATGTTACTGTGGATGCTACTCCTTTGTACCAAAGACATTGGCACTGCCTCAGTCTGGGGGGCTGGTAAGGTTACCTACCTTTCCCAGCCCTCTTGCACTCAACCCTACCTCTCTGACTCCCTCCAGTCACTTCCCCTCTGAGTTTTTCCCCTCTCCTGCTACTACATCAGCCAGGGTGGGGTTTTTTTGCCTTCCTCAGAAGCACTGGGCTTTGGCTGCAGCCAAGGCAGATTGTGACTGGGGTGTGCCATGCTCCTGCTGGGACTTAAACCTGGAGATTGCTGGCTAGACAGCTTTGGCTTCTGCTCAGGGTCAGGCCATATATGGGGTCAGGAAGGAATTTTACCCCATGGTCAGACTGGTCTGGACTATGGGGCTTTCTATGTTCCTCTTCAGTGTGGCCCTCTCCTTCAGATCTCTCCAGCATTTGCAGCAGCAAGACATTATAGCTACCCTCATGCCCCTGCTTTACCCTTGGCAGGTGAGGGCACCGGGCCTGGTGGCTGAGTTGACTGTGTAGGTTTGCTAAGAGGTTAGACAAGTGCTTCTCACCTGGTAGGGGAAATACTGTGACCACCAAGGTGGGGCAGGCGATGGCTGCTTTTCTGGCACGTGGTAGTACCCGGGAGAAGCTAATGTATAATGACTCTCCCACTTCCATTTCCAGTGGGAAGATCTTTATGGAACGGGGAGACTTCCTGCGGCCATGTGGCTGAGGGCAAGCAAAACCCGGGGGCAGCCGAATCCCAAGCCTCCGGGCTTGGGCCTGCACGTAGGATGCCTGTCAAATGATTTGGAAACTTCTGAAGCCCCAGGTGGGGGTGGAGGATGTTTGCCGGTAGTAGGGCTATATAATGGTTCTTAAATGACTCACGGATCTGGAATTGATTTGGCTTGGAACGTGAAAAATGTTGCTTAAAAAAAACCCTGAAAAACTTCTCAACCTTTTTTTAGACTCAAGTCCTCACCTCGAGAAATGTCAGTTCTTTGCTGTCATCATTGGCAATCCCTTGATGATCCCAAACATGGCTCACTGATGGGTCTTGAGGTACAATCCTTGAGGCACAGACCCATCCGCAGAAGTTGCAGGTTTTTGCATAGGGGAGAGTAGGTCATAGGCCTCCCTTTTTCCTTCCTCTGCTTCTCTTCTTTACTTTGAGGGTGAGACGCTTTGCCTCAAAATGGGCAGCCTGTGTGGTTGAGGTCGGGGCACCATTGGGTCTGGGACCTCAGCTGGTTTGACCCCAGTCAGTTAAGTCTGACACTACACTCAACCAGGTTTATCTCAAACCATTTGGAAACTGTTTTATGTGCACTGAACTTCTGTGCTGTCACAGGTTTAAACCAGTTTGTGATCACTCACACCAGTTTATGTGCAACTTCTGTCCCGAGTCAATCAGCAGTCAGTTCCTCCCAGCTCTCAACATCATCATCCATTTCCTCCAGGTCTGCCTTCAGTGTGTCCTTACAGCGTTTCCTCTGGCCACCGAGAGACCTCAGGCCACTCCAAAGCTGGGAAGAAAGCCCTGGTTTTGAGAGTTGAGAGTCGGGCGTCCGCACAAAGCGTGTGGTCCGGTGACGCGGGTGCTTGAGGATCACTGACTCCGTGGTGGGGCTGCCATCATAAAGGACAGGCCGGATGTCCTCTATCCTCTATCGATAGGAAGCCCGACGTCTTGATGTCCTCTGTTTTTCTCTTCAAGAAGAAGAGAAGGCCCTTCTCATAACTGCAGCTTCTCTGTCTGAGCCGTCCCAGAGAAACGTCTGTTTTCTCTTCAAGAGAAAAAGAGAGGATATAAAGGCATTGGGTTTCATGTCAACAGAGGACAACCCGACTGTCCTCGGTGATGGCCACCCTGCTCGGCGGTGGGTTACGTGCTCCCGGCCCAGAGCAGGGGCCGGCCCCCGATCCCTGGCTCTTGCCGCGAGGGCTGCGCTTCGCATCCGCAGAGCAGGGTCGACGATGGTGTGTCGTACACCTGGATCTTTCCAGAGATCCGCACTCCGGGATCCGCTCCTTGGTGTCCCCGCAGAGCCGCTGGAGCGATTCTCGGCGCCGCGGGGGGAGGCCCGAGCGCCCGGCTCCTCTGGCGACT